GCGGTTTTTTTGGCCCCTGCTCTGTTCCTGCAGGCTTTTGTTTTCTTTGGACTCGAGATCATAGCTTGTGATCTTCCTGTCTTGTACGTTGGTTTTGGACCTTGTTTGCTCCTTTGTTTTTAATGCATTCCCATCACTCTTATCAAAATCATAATAATAATAATAATAATAATAATAATAATAATAATAATAATAATAATAATAATAGCTGGATTTCCATATCGAGAATAGGGAGTAAGAAAGAAGAGCAGAAAAGGAAGTTAAAGACGATTTGGTCAATATACATATTACCGACAATAATGATCTACAAGCTAGCTAGATAGCTAGGTGACACATCCATACTTTAGCATAGATATGATATTAATCGTGGTGGGAAAGGTTAAATCATTCATTCATGGAGAACAATTTGTCTTGTTCCAGGCCCAGCCCATGTAATAAGTGAATTTTGATTGGGATACCATAGCAGAGCAGAGCAGAGCAGCCAGCCACAGCCACTTCGCACGGACAATATTGATTAGTTTGTAGGACAGGATGAGGATTCAGGTGTTGTGCTCTTTTTCTCGGCAAAGACAACTTGCCCTCCATCTTTGCCCAGAAAATTTTATCTTTTCAGTCACCCAACAAATACGAAAGCCTCTTTCTTTTCGTCTGTACATATGTAAATATTCTGTGAGTCCACTTGTTTCGCCAAATCAATTATTGATTCCTCCACTGTATGCATCAACAGATAAAGAAGATACCCACAATTCTCGGTCAAGAAAGGCAAAATTGGATCTCTATTAAACAAATTATTTTGTCTCCTACAGTTGCTTTTTTGCCTCTTATAGGCTGATTTTGCGTCCGGTTTTTATAAGTGTTTTTCGATTTCAAAAGTAGAAATAGAGCCAAATATCTCTAAAAAAATCGAATTTTAAAAAGCCGAAAAGTGTTTTTGTATAACATAAAAGCAGAAGCTCTGATTTGGAGCTTCTGTGCAAAGTTGTTTTAAAAAATACGAGATTATACTTACCATATTTTAATTTTATTTCAGAAAATTTTATTTTCTTTCCTTTATATAATTTGAAATATAAAATAAAATATAAAATTATATTATTTAATATTAAACAAGTCTAACAAAAATCCACTTTGACTATTTTTAATTGTTTAGAATTTTTATTCATATTCAATATTATAAGTCAATTATAGTCATTTTACACAACCTTTCATATTAAAAAGCATTTTTAATAGTTTTCATCCAAACACTCAACTGTTTTTTTTTCGAAAAAACACTTCTCTAAAAATTTAATCAAAAGTTGCTTCTGCAAAAACTACAACACTACTTGCGTTCTCAACCTCTAGGAAAAGCTAGCTTGTTTCCAAACGGTTAACCACAACCATCGTCAATAGTAACAAAGTTTTAATCATCGTAAATTCCTTTGAGCAATACTTTTTCTTATCATGATAATATATAGATAGGGGAGCCAGTTTGTAGAATCATGAGAATTATTTTTTATTATAATCGCACAAGTTGTTATTTGTAATTATCATCGTCAACATGCTTTTTTTTAATTATCATGAACAAAATCTTAATTTTGGGGTAACATTTAGAACGTAATTATTGAACCTCTGTCTTAATTCATATATTTCTTCTGTTAATTTCTATTGTGTGAGAAATATTGATTATATAGATAAATAAACATAATTAGTTCTTAGAGGTGAAATAGTGAAATCCGGTCTTTTCCTTAAAAATTCTCTCCATTGATTTTCTACTGTGTCTGGTTCGTATTGATAGAGTATATAGAACAAAATGTAATTTTTATTGTTTTCAGGATAGTTATTGTAATTAGTAGTTTGTATAGGTACTAGGTAGTAATTTGGAGAACACTATAAAGGCTGAACAGTGTAATAGAACAACTCACCGTTTTGATGCAATAATCAGTTTTTCCTTCCGCAATTACTAAATCTGGCATGGTATCAGAGCTAAACTAGGGTTTCTTGGTTTCTTTCGTTTTCTTTTCTCTATTTTGTGATGGCGATTCCACTTCCTCTTCCCGCACCTCTCGATCCCAATCATCCTTACTACCTCAATCAGAACGAGAATCCGGCGCTTGTGCTTGTGTCGACGCTTCTCCATGGCGGCAATTATCAGTCCTGGGCGAGGTCGATGAGGATGGCGCTTGTGTCATTAAGTTTAGTAATTTTCATTTTCATTTTCAAATCAATCACTTTTTCAATTCACAATTTTCTCAAAATTTATCTTAGCTGCACCATTCCACTAAGAACGATAAATTATTTATCATTTAATTACTTGATTGACACCATGCTCTTTTAATTTTGTCGCATCAGCAACCAAATAAAGTTAACTCCATCAACAACCAAATACAACAACAAACAACATTCCAACTCGCTGATAGTCTTACCACAATGATCACTTGGTGTCTCTCGCTTCCAGCTTATAAGATCCAAGATTAGAGTCATTGTCTGCTACCTATCTTAAAGGGTCGTGATAAGGATACTTGAAACCCTAATGACAATTATGCTACAAATATATTTAATGAATGAATCATAATTTGTATACTTGATATTCAAGTCAATTCTTATATAAATACCTTACATAAATGAAACTCAAACAATCAAGTTCTCTACATTAACATCCCGAAAATTTCTTTTTGCGCGCACACTAGCAATCTGTTGGGAGATTAAAAATTATGTCCTATATTACGAAAGGGACTTCCACTAAATCCTCAATCAAACCCTAATGATAATGTACTCATGGCTCATGCAATATCTTGAAAGCAAAGCACACAAGGTGAGAAAAGGCAAAAAGAAGCATTAAAAAGGTTCTTTTTTGGATTTTACATATACAACGCAAATTAATTAGAGAACAAAAGGAAAGAGAAAAGCAAACACCACCTAGCTCCACTCGACATGAAAATGGAGGGGTCCAACATCTTTCACACGCAAAAGGACATAAAATAATAATCCATAACCAAAGTTAATTGCAATCGAGTTTTTACTTTCTAGAGATGGAATCTCCATGTAATGCCTAAACAACATAACACTAATTAACGAATGCATGAGTTAAACAATTAACTATGTGTATGATGATGAGGATAACAAAATCGATCAATAAGAGCAATGAAGTGGTCTCTATCAACCTTATATTTTACCACCCAAATCCCACTAAGATAAAGTGGTATATTTAAAATGGACTGCAAGATATTTAGTAGGGGATTATACTGGTTTAATCATTGCCTTTTTTTTATAGAAATTATTAGAGATTTTGTTGGTGTGAATGAAAATGAAGGTAACGAAGCTAAAAAGAAACTTACTTGTCCTGAAATATGGCTGTGAGAGTGATTATATAGTTGAGAAGTCCACTCAGACTAGTAAAAGGAGCACGAGGAGCTTGACCACTATCGTCGTAGCTAGTGCTTCTTGAATTCAGATACATTTTTATTTGATTTCATTTTATGGCAACTCGACCAGATTAGTTATGTAACCAACAGAGCCGAACCCATTAGCCAAATCTATGTGATGGTTGACTACCAATCTAGTCCGACTCTCCCAACCACACCGAACTGTTGCTTGGCTTGCAACTACTTAGTTCAACTGTCCGACTGACTACTTAAACCAGTGCCACCACTTTGCACTTCATAAAATTATGGTGTAGGTGATTATTCCACTATAGCTCCGATTGTCGTGTGTCCTACTTCCATACATCTGATTAAATCACCCCATTCAAACCCCTTTAAGCTCAAATGAATTTCAAACTGACAATTTTATTAATGTGGATGCTGCAAACCATAAGTACATTGATCTCAGCCTACAACATCGGCTTTCCACTAACCATAATCGACTCCACTAACCTACAAATCAACTAACTAATTATGCTAACTTCTTCAGATAGAGTGCCATGGAGATGGAGGAATGCACTCTTCACATCAATATGGTAAACTGTCCAGCCATGAGTGGCAGCAAGAGCTAGAAAACTTTTGACGGTGTCCCACCTGGCAACTGGAGCAAAAACCTTAGTGTAATCAACACCATGCTAGCTAAGAGTAACCTTAGTCGCCAATCTGGCTTTGAACTTGTCAACTGTTCCATCTTCCTTTAGTTTAGTTCTAAACACTCACTTGAAGCCAATACACTTTGCTCCGGCGGAAAGAGTAGTCAAATACCAGGTTGCATTCTTCTAAATAGATATCATCTCAAGCTTCATTGATGCATTCCATCTTTCCTCAGCAGCTGCGTCCTCATAATTGAGAGGATCATCTGAAACAACTACCATAGCACACCATTTAGTAGTATAAGTGATTCGGGCCTAATTGTACACTTTTTGTTCCTGTTTCTCTTTGACGTTTGTTGCAATTGAAATCCAAAATGGATGGTTTTAATTACACGAGGTTTCTTGTGTTTCAGTGTGTTTCACATTCTAACAGGTGAAACCAACCCCGAGGTCGAAAGTTGGAAGAAAATGAGCAAAGAACGGGCAAAGAGGATGAGACAACCTATCTTCATGGTCTGCCATTGGAGTTCACAGTCTCTGGGACCGTGAACTGGAACCACAACCCGTGAACTAAGGAGCGTCCAAGTGAGAATCTAGCAGATTTATTCCCCAAGTCACTCCCGAGAACAATTTTTCAAAAGCTTGTCCGTGAAATTGGAGTTCGACGACTCAAAGACCTGAACTGATCGATGTGGTCATGAGGGGGAGCATATACGCGCTGCACTCTTTTTCCCTTAACCATGATTTTTTTCTCACTGGGTTTTCCTGGTAAGGTTTTTAATGAGACAGCATGAGATAGCGTAATGCAATCTAGTGGTCATTCAAGGGGGAGTATTATGTAAATATTCATGTGGATGACCACCACATTAGATGCACAATTGGGTGTTACATGTAACCCCCACCCCATTTCTATTTCACATTCATTCTCACATTCATGTATATTGATTGTAAAAATGTAGATGTTATGTGATGTGTGCCTATAAATAGATGATCTCCTTGTACTAAGGAACACATGAATAAGAAAGCTGTATTTTTCCTCTCCTCTTGTGTCTCTACTCTTACTCTTGTGTCTATTGCTCTTCCTTGCTATTTTATAACAATATGTTAGAATTTCTTGTCTAAACTACAACGGAGCGAAAAGCTGGACGAAAGTGAAATAGCAACCACTGCAAGATAAACACAGGCCCATGATGGGCTTTGGTTGCCTAGTGTTCGTTGGTTCGAGGCTCAACAGAGACATGCTTCTGAACCCAATGGTGTAGGGTTGAGGCGTTCAGCCCGCAAAGCATTCTTCTGGACTTTTGGGATATTCAAATGGGCTTCGCACAGTCCTTTAATGTTTTTTTTTTTTTGCACCCTCACAATTTCTTTTTCTTTCTGTTGGATCGTGATCACTGATCAGCCCGTCGACTTCGTATCCGCTTCATTACGATTTAGTACATTCAGAACGCAGATCGCAGAGACCTCAGATTCAATTCTCCGCGCCGGCGCCGATGCGTCTCCCACCGACTCCGAACTTGCGGTGGTTGTCTGAACTCTGAGCTATAAACTCAGAAGCGACGCAAAAAGGAATCTGCTTAATCGTTTGGTATACCCCCACCGCTCAAAGCTTCTATTATCTAGGGTTCAATTAAGGTCTCTCCCATTTGTTTCCTTAGGATTCTTGGGATTGCTTCGGAAGTCTCTCACATTTGGTTCTGCTTGTGAATTCATCCATGGTACGGCACCGGCAGGTTGAACGTTAGCAGAATCTCCTTTGATTGCTTAACAATGGACGCAAAATCGCTGGCCAAATCCAAACGAGCTCACTCGCTGCACAACAGCAAGAAGCCACATCTGTCTCGTAAACCGAAACCCTCGCCTGGCGGAGGTGGCGGCGATGGTGCAGCTGGAAGCAAAGCGCCGGGGAAACCGGTTAAGGATAAAGAGCTGGCTACCTCATCTGCGCTGCCATCAAATTGGGATAGATATGACGAAGATTTGGATGTAGTTTCAGGGGAAATGTCCACGGAGACCGCAAGCAAGGCTTCTGATGTAGTTTTGCCCAAGAGCAAAGGTGCAGATTATCGTCATCTGCTTGCTGAAGCTCAATCTCAGCCCCATTCAAGTGGTTACTTGGACAGCTCTTTTACTATAGACGATGTTTTGCCTGGTATAGACATACTCTCTTGCTCCCACGAATGTTCGAATAGGCCCCCGTTGAGTTCAAAATGTACCCTCGTTTGCTGCTTGTCTCATTTTATCCGTTGTTAAGCTTCTTGAGCTGGTATAAATCACTATTCTTGTATGGCAGATGAGTTTAAGCAGACATTTGGAGTCATGCTTTCAGCCAGGGGAGAGGGCATTTTGTCATGGATTTTAGATGATAATTTCATTGTGGATGAGGAGAGTGGAGCAACTGCTAGTCAGGAGGTAATTGACTTGCTTCAGTATGTTGTTATGTATTGTTAATCGAGACGGTGAGGTGTAATATTTTGATCACTCCTTGTCAATTTTGCAGTGGTCATCTGTCGATAGTTGTGTGGTCTGGGTTCCCTTTTCCATGTGATCTAGAGATTGATTTACAATCTAGGTCTATAGTTTAGCCATCGGGAAAAAAGATTCTAGCTTTGCCTTTTTTCCTAGCAAGTGCAGAAATATAACTACTTTGAGTGTCCAGATTGACATATTAGGCATTTATTCAGAAATAGAGAAGCAAGATACCCGCTTAGATTGACCATTAACTGCTGAGGGCTATTTTTTTGCGTTTGTACCGTAAAGCTATAACTAGAAGTAATATACTCTATGTTAGAACTTATTGTTTTTTTTTTTCTTCTTCTTTTGATGACTACTTTCTATTTTGTTTACCTGGCTGAGATTATTCTACATTCCAGTTAATTCCTTCTGTTTGATCCTCTTATCTTCACTGCTTTCCCAATTAGGCATCTTTTCTGTCATTAAACTTTCAAGCTCTTGAGGAACAACTGGCGAGGGTTGATATCTCGAAGAGGCTTTTCATTGAACCAGATATATTACCAGCAGACTTGGTAAGTCACATTCCTTATCATCATTATTTGAACTCCATTCATTTGGCTTTTGTCTATCGAAGTTTGTCTTTACTGTTAGATCTATGTGAACGTCAAGTACTAGCTCTTAGTGTTGCAAGTAGATTCATGTCTTATGTTAAGGCTTAATAAGGTGTTTGATGGAGTAAGCATTCATATTTTATGTTTAAGGCTTAAGAAAGTGTTTGATGGAGTAACTAATAATGCAATAGGAAAATTTGGATGAATCAAAGAGACTACTAATAGCAAGAAAGATTCAGATGCATTTGAGATATTCAAAGATCATCAGACAGAGTGTTATATTAGAATTTGGAATTTTGGGAATCTTCAAAACACTGGTCACAGGAACGGCCAATTTAATGCAATACGTACAAAGTAACTAATGCAAATTTATTTAATTTAAAGCACATATCAGTTAGCGCTGTAGTCGTCTTTTGATCTAGATTCGGGCCACAATTAGCAAGACGTTTTGAGCTAGCGTGCTTTTGACATTTGCAACATACTTGTGGATTCACAAAATCATCCAGACTGATTACTGGTGAAGGATGTTCAAACTCAGGGTAAAGCAGTTAATGGGTTGTTTGGTTCCTGTTTTTCACCCAGTGTGACTGTTGCCTAGAGCATGGTCTTTATGTTACATGTGTTTTATTGCTAATCGACAGTCTGCCCCCCTCTGCTTATTCATGGGACAATTTTTCACTTTTCACAGTGTGATGATGGATCACAGGCAAGCCATAATCAGGGCTCCTCAACACAAAGGAGTGAAAGTGTAGTAAGCACATCTAAGCCAGAGCATGCATCTCATGGAGACGTATCTAGGACGGTCGAGATTGTGAATCAAGATGCTGACCCAATACCTGAGGAATCTACAGCCCATGAAGGATTTAGACCAATATTCAGTCAAGGATCTGAAACATCATCTCCATTCGAACGCGAACTGGCGGGTGAAACGTTCAATCACCTTGTATCTCTAGAGTCCCAATCCAAGTTTATTCACAATTCCACCACAGACTCTACAAAAGAACTTGACACATTCGAGGCAGCAGCTGCTGAAGCAGAGCTGGACAAGCTTCTTGACTCATTTGTTGACACCAATCTTGACGATCCTCCTTCTGCCTCCATATCAGGTACTTCTCTTCCTATCTCAACTGAGGAGGCTGCAGTTTTGCCACAGGCATCTAGGAGTGTGCCTTATCCATCGCAAATGTCACCCATTGATGGAAATATAGACGACATGCTTGATAGTTTGCTTGCAGAAACATCCACTGCCTTGCAGCAGACTAGCCATAGGAACCAGTTGCCTCCGGATACTGGATCTTCTTCCTCTCAAGCAATCCCAAAGTCTACAGCTTTGGATGATTTCGGTTCTTGGTTAGATACAATTTGATGATGGGTTACCTTGTTTTTCTTCTAAGGTCACTGTTATATGAAAATTGTACTGCCTCGAGTAAGATTCACATTACTGTCCATAGTGATCTAGCCTTATAGCTTGTTGCTAAAAAAAAATTGTTCCTTGTTTTCATTTTCGATATCCTACGCATTTGAGTTGACAGGTGGATTTGGTCGCATAGTATTTAGATTCAGATGATATATGATAGTGGTTGGTTGATGGTGATGTGAACTCTGACAGAGAATTCTGAAGATAACGTTGATCCAAATGTGATGAGATTTGTTTTTGGCTAAGAAATTGTACACCTTCAGCCAGCTGTGCTTTTTCTTTTTGATTTCAGAACATATGGTGTTTCATAAAGCAAACGAAAAGATATTTCTCTCCACTCAATATATAACCATTGTATTCAGTCATCTCTTTGTTCAATCACCAGAAGGTTAATTTACAGCAGCAGCCAGCAGACCCTAATTTGGTGATTGGCAAAAGTCAACGTCAATGGAAAAAGGGGAGGGAGAGAACTGAGAAATAATCAAAGCCACAAGGCTCCAGCCTGTTTGAGAATAGGAACCAATTCGCCGGTGATATGAGTGGCCATAACCCTGTCCAACCCTCCGAACAACTTCCCGCCAATGAACACCGCCGGCAACTGAACCTCCTCCCCGGCCACCGTCCGCAGCTCCTTCAACACCCGCCGGGCCTCGTTGTCGTCGTCGACCTCGAACACCGGCGGGTTGACTCCCACGCACAGGAGCAGCCGCTTGAGGACGTGGGTCATGCAGCAGCCCCGGCGGGCGAAGACGATGATGGCATTCTCCGACACCACCTCCGCCGCGAGGACGTCGCTGTTGAGCAGCGGCTGCTTGGTCGTGGTGTAGTGGGGCAGCCACGTCTTGTAAGGAATCGCCTCTTGCATTTCTGATCGATCTTGTGGGGTTTTTCCTTCAAGAAATTGGGAGGAAGAGATTGATGAGATTTTGAGCTTGGGAAATGAGAGGGAGGTTCGGTTTATAATAAGGGAGAGAGGGAGACTTTAAGAAGGTGGCGTCAGTCAACGGGCTTCGTGGCTAACGCGGAGCTTTGTTTGTTTATTAAAATTCCCGAGGAGGCTAATGGGGAATTCTACGACCGAATTTGGTGGTGTGGGATGTGAGGAATGACGATACGATTTTTATAGCTAGCGAGCGGGCGTCCTTCTCTTGGAAGTATGTCATGTGATTACGTCATGACTGATATATATATTCTATTTATGTACATGTTTATTATTATTTATTAATTATCATAAGCGACAAGTTGGTTGGGTTGGGTGTTAGTTGTGGACTTTCCTTTTTTTTTTTTTTTTTTCTTTTTTTCCATTTCCATGGTGACGCTTCAATTTACTAGAAAGCTAAAGCCTGATGATATAGCACCCAGCTGAGCACATGCACACGTTAGCAAATATTACCAGATTCCCCTTCAAGGATGGGCGAACTGCAATTTGCAATTGGAAGACCCCAACCAACTTATATACACATTTGGTCATCCATTTGTTGGATCTACTTACGCATCAGTATTCGACTAATATAGCTATAGTCTTATATTCTTAGTTGTCACACACTAAGAGTGTCAGTGTCACCTTCGTTGCTTTCGAGTTATATTATATTTTTCGTATAAAGTTGTGGAATCGATAAAGTTGTCGAAACGTATAAGTTGTAAAACGTTATTATTAAGCACTATTGCACGTATTTTTTGGATGCCCGTCGTATTGTATTACGTTACTAAGTCTTGACCATAAATCATGCTTTTCACCCATTGAATAGCTCACACGTATAGTGAGTCGTCTAAGCCATGCAAATTTCTCTTCGTCTTATTTGATACTTTCATTTAATTAGCATGGTATATCAGAGCCTTAAACCATGAACTCGGAATTAGTTTGCAAATTCCTTCTACATCCGAGTAGCGTGAGGAAGAATTCAGACTCCTATATGTAATCATCAAACAGTGGTTGATAACCCTAACTTTCAATAACCTAATCAAATCAATTGTGAGAGTGTTCACTCTCCGTTAGGGTCGCAAATGAGCCAAACCGCTCGCGAGCAACTCGGCGTTCGAATCGGGAAAAACTCGTTCGACACTCGACTCGTTGTTTAACAAGCTGGCTCGCGAACCGGCTCGTTGGTAAACGAGCCAAGCTTGAGCTAGGTCATGCTCGGCTTGATAAGCTCGTGAGCTAGCTTGACTCGGTGGCTTGTTGAGATAAGCTCGCGAGCTGGCTTGTTTAAAGCTTATGGAAGGATTAATTATTCTTCTGAACATAAAAATTATCTTGTTAATAAGGATGTGTATGGAAAGTTAAATGTTATTTTTAGTTTCTAGTGTTCTTTTTATCATTTTTAATTTCTAATGTTCTTATTTGTACAAATTTTTCAGCAAGAATGGTTTCAAACCGAGCTTAATTATCTTGAGCCGAGCTTGTACTCAGTTTGACAAGCTGTGTTAATGAGCATTTACCGAGCTCTATCGAGTCGAGCTTGAGCTGGATTATTTTTAATTGAGTCGAGCTCGAGCTGGATGATCAAAATTCGAGTTGGAGCCGAGCTCGAGCTAAAAAATTTATAAACGAGCCGAGCTCAAGTTAAGCAAAAAAGTCGACTCGTTTGCAGCCCTACTCTCCATGTAGTAGTCTCATTCACATAGAGAATGGGGAAACAACATAAATCTTGTTGTGTTCTTTTCCTTGCTTTCTCATTTTCACAATAGTGTCAGCCATTAGACGATTCCATAGGCATCTCCACGATCAAAAGGTTACCAACAACGACAGTGAGGCAAAGCTACCGATTTCACCATCGCCTTTTCTGTTGCCTAAATCTAATAGTCCTCGCCACTTATTGAACTCGACTATGGTGAATGGCTAGGCGATACAGACTCCTTGATAGCAAAAAAACTATCTTGGGTGCGTTGATAGGTCCATCTCAATTCCAACATTTGAAGTTGATTGTGTAGTATGGAGACAGTGCGACGCGATGGTCAAAGGATGGCTGAAGACATCCTTGAGTAAAGACGTGCACTGTAGTGTTCGATTTTTCAAAATGGCGCGCGAGATTTTCGTCGCACCATCAGCTCTCTTCAACAGGAGATTTAGTTCGTAGTTGTGTTTTTACGAAGTTACGGGGTCTTTGGGATGCAATAATCGCATCCTTAGCTCCCTCACTCGATTGCACCGGCAAAACTTGTACATGCAATGTAAAAGATGTTAGCATGAAGCTCAAGAGGTTATTCAATTTTCTTATGGAACTTGACGAGGCATTTTCCAATGTCAAGTCACACATTCTTACTATGAAGCCTCTTTCCAGCATTGTTAAAGCTTAGGTCCCGTTTAGTATCATTCTGTTGTTGTTGTGGTTGCACTGGCGTTATGTAAACAGATGCACAACACAACAGGAAAAAAACAGAAAACATAAACCTGTTTAGTTGATAAATCTGAGAAATCATGAAATCTGACAACAAAAAATAAAAACTAGCTTTGTTTAATTTCTTTCTTATCTGCCATTTAAATTTTAATAATTAATAAATGCAATTCTTTTGAAGAACAAGTGGTCGAGAAAAAGTAGAGCTTTGGTAGCGGCGGCTGAGCTTTCTTCTTCGCCTTCACTTTCATAAGCTTCTCCAATATGCTAACTATCTTGGTCATTGGAACAGAGGAAGTAATCCCCAAGTTGTAGATCCTCAATTGACTCGATTGTTTCTCTCTGAAAGGGGAGCGTTGGTTCTATCGGGGCAGAGGAGAGTCGGTTGTCGGGGGAGAAGGGGGCGTCGGCTTGTGTCAGGGAGAAGGATGAACGGAGTGGGAGAGAGAAGCCGGCGGCAGGGCGACGAGAAAGGATTGGCCGGCTGGAGAGGAAGGTTGAGAGAGGGAGGGAGCTGTTGGGCGGCGATTTGGGCAAATAAAAGAGGAGATTGTTTGGCCGACTAGGGTTTGGGAGTAAAAAAAAGAATTTTTTTTGCCTAAGGTGGGACTCGAACGAGGGGTTGCTTTAATGAAAACAGACGTTCAACCACTAGGAAACTCGTGTGAAACAAGATTAAGAATCAGATCCAAAGTAATAAATTGTTGTTTCTCTGATTTGGGCCTGGTTGTGTAAATCTGATTCACAACAAAAAAATAAAAACTAAACTAAACATGTTTTTTCTCCTTGGTTTCTCCAATTCTTAAAAACACAACAGAAAACAAAAAGAAGCAACAATACTAAACATGGCCTTATCATATGGTCGTCTGTGATGGTCAACAACGTAGTAGCGCAAATCATTGACGACCACAAGCTGAAGTGATCATCTTTTAGGCAAGGGAGAGCAGGTTCTGCGGCTTTTTGCATTGCAACAACATGCTACAACGCTCATGGAGGGTCGTTCGTATTATACGACAAATGTAAATCAAATATAGTTTCCTCTTACGAAACAAGTCAAACTAAGATTCGACCACATAAATCTCTGTTAAGATAGAATATAATTTATGAGGTGAGATAGATTTCATCATTAGTGTTACCTCACGAACGGATAATTGGTTAGTTCATTTTTGGGAGGATAAAAGCTTCTTATTATGAACCCACAGGTTTAAGAAACCTACATGAAAGTTGGCTTATTCAAATTGTTTTACTGATTTGGAATTTGTTTGAGTAGACTAATTTAACAAGCGTAATAAAGAATCTCACTGAGTATCTGGGTTAGGATTCTCTTCATTTGGACGATGAATCCGTCCATATGGAATGAACCTTGACGGCAAGAAACGGAGAAATCCGACCAAAAAGAAATGAAATGGGGAATTTCAAAACCCACAACCACAACAAACAGAAGTTCATACTTTTTTGGACGGCCGGTGTGTGCTGTGTAGGGCCAAGCAAAAAAAATCGATGCCCCCCCGCGTCATCCATCCGATGAGTGATGTCACCCAGCCGCGTCACGTCACTCACGTGAAACTCGCAACCGCTTCCGGCCGAAGCTGCTGACCTCTGCCCACGCCACCCTCGACTACTTGGGCCCTTTTCCAGCTTCCTGACTGACGTGTGCACGCGTCGCCCCAATCGCCATAGAAATTTTTTAAATTGCATATTTAGTTTATCAATTTTTTTTCCCATATATTGAACCTAAATTATTCCTTATTAATTACGGACTTTAACACTCGTTTCATTGGTAGTTACTCTTCCTCTTAACTTTGTACTACAGGGTAGTCGATTTTCTTATTTGTCTATTAAATTAGTGAGGTGTCAGTTAAAATTTTTTTTTTTACAAAAGATATGTTTATTGTAACAAATAGGCACTTACATCCTGGCATTAAGCCAGGCGGTGAAATCAAAAGAGCGATTAGCAGTCGGATACAGTCAAATGGCTTTTCTAGCCCACAAATGGGCTACCCTATTGTTATATCGACCTACAAATCGCACACTAAAGCCAATGTGAATCTCGAAGTAATGCACGACCTATTCCAAGATTGCGCCCATCCGACTATCCCGGATATCAGATTGGTGGATCTTGTCAACGCTGACTTTTACATCACCCTCAAATCTTATCTCTGAAAGTCCCAGACTTAATCACTAGAGGATAGCCTCCCGAAGAACGTAAAGACTATGATTGTATTGAGAACATTGATGTGTATAGAGAATTAATGGCAACTTACTAATAACGACAAATTCTATCTCAATCCATTATTAGGCTCAAGAATGGCTATACACTCTTTAACAACTAGATCTGGACTCTTAAATTTGAGTAGCACAATTTCTCTAATTTATTTGTGCAAAAAAATTAAATTACGACTTAAAACAAAATAGATATTGTCTGTTACAAATTTATAGGGGAAATTATAATGAGTCTTCCATAAATAGTGATGTGGGCATCATGCATGGTTATTGACGGCTCAAGTTAGGGTGCTTAACATGAGTAACCAAATCTGAATCCTTCCTTTTAAGTGGCTGTAGAAGGGTTGTGAAATAAAGACATTTCATTTACCCTATTTTTCTTAATCGGATCATATCTTCTTCATTCTAACTCGGTTTTTTTCCCTGCACAGATGGAACCAGTTCTGTAACACCTTATGCGAATCCCACATCGACAAGACGCGTTTTGGGGTAAGATGGAGGAGTTCTTGTGAGAACTCCGAAGTTAAACGTG